GAGGGTCTTCCTCTTTTTCGCTGACCCTCTACTTTACCAAGCATGATGTCCTTCTCCAGGGACTGGTCCCTCCTGATAACATGTCCAAAGTATGTGAGGCGAAATCTTGCCATCCTCACTTCCAAGGAGCATTCTGGCTGTATTTCTTCCAAGACAGATTTGTTTGTTCTTCTGGCAGCCCCTGGTATATTCAATATTCTTCACCAATACCATGATTCAGAGGCGTCAATTCTTCTCCGGTCTCCCTTATTCATTGTCCAGCTTTTGCATGCATATGAAAACACCATAGCTTGGGTCAGGCCCACCTTAGTCCTTAAAGTGACATCTTTTCTTTTTAACACTTTAAAGAGGTCTTTTGCAGCAGATTTGCCCAATGCCATACATCGTTTGATTGCTTGACTGCTGCTTCCATGGGCGTTGATTGTGGATCCAAGTAAAATGAAATCCTTGATAACTTCAGTCTTTTCTCCATTTATCATGATGTTTCTTATTGGTTCAGTTGTGAGGATTTTTGTTTTCTTTATGTTAGGGTGTAATCCGTACTGAAGGCCGTAGTCTTTGACCTTTATAGTAGTCACCTCTAAAATAGGGATGTTAAATAGTAGAATGCCTCAAAATTATTCTGTAGTCTCTGACCGTAAAGTGATTAGTAGTTGCAATTTATTTAATCCAAACAGTAGAAAAACTAAGTTTCGGAAGCAAGTTTCTCTTTTGATGCAAACGTGGGGTCATTAAGTTGCACCTAAATCACTCTCTCTGGCTCATTCTTCAACTCTTTGTTGTAGCCATTCTTTAAGCGAGAAACAATCATTTTTCTTCTTTAAAATTTTCTTATTTGGGGCTCTTTGAGTGTTTCAAAGCCAAATTTTAAGATTTCTTGTTGGTGTTCCAGTCCAGATGAAACATACACAAAACGCCCCTCTGAACTCTGAACAATAAGAATTATAGCTAAAATATTTTAAAATGTGTTTTGAAGGCTATATAAACCAGTAACCAAAACACCAGTTGCCGTCAATTCCATTCCAACTCATGGCAATTCCACGTGTTTCAGAGCAGAACTGCACTCTGTAGAGTTTTCAATGGCTGTGACCTTTTAGAAGTAGATAGCCAGGGCTTTCTTCTGAGCTGCCTGTGGATGAACTCAAACCTCCAACCTTTTCAGTTAGCAGTTGAGCACGTTAACTGTTGGCACCACTCAGGGACTCCAAAGAATGTATAACCATGCTTAAACATAAATGGAAAGTTTCCAAAGACCAGAAACGGAAAAGAGGTACAAGAATGGCAAGGGGAGGCAGAAGCTGGGTTACTCACAGGAAGTGGAAACCAGATGAGGCAGTGGGACCAGAAGGGAAACATGATGGAGTATACCCCACATGTAACAGTAGCTTAGGACTGTGACCGCCATACACCCGGAGGCTAGGAGTCCCCCTCCATACACTGGGGTCAAAGGGCACCTCCCATCTTTTCTGAAATTGAAGCCAGACACAGAACTGTCATGGAAGGAAGCAAGGGCGCTAAACTGAACCAGGATCTCTGCCTATATTGCACATGGATGTCCTGTGGGAGTACCCTCGTCAGGGAAAGAACCTCAAGGCCTAATACTAGAGTGTGCACCTCAGCTGACTGGACTGTGACAGTCCCCAAATCATGGCACAGGGAACAAAGTTCACGTGAGATGAGCTGTCAGGCAAAAATTACAAAACAAGACAAAATCCAGAGTCTTGGGAAATGTTAAGCAAACACAGGAAAAGATAGACTTGCTTTTTCTCAAAAGAACTTAAGAATAAGTATGTTTAGTTATTTGGAAGTTATGGAGGAGGGAATTACATCCTTGGAACAGGGAGAGAAAGTAACAAGAACAGGGAGATGTGATCAAGAACCTATTGGAAATGAAAAATGCAACCACTGAAACTAAAAAAAAAAAAGACAATACGATGAACAGCAGACTAATAAGCGTAACTTCTTTAAGAACCAAAAGGATCTCTGCTTCTAACATATACATTTTAAGCATTAGTTGAACATGCTTCTTTTCCTTAATATACCTTTCTAAATCTAAAATTTAGGAAAGTAGAAGGAGTGACAATTTTCGCAAGTAGACGTCACTGCATAATAAACTATTATCACCTTTATGAAGCTGTTAACTTTCAAAATCTCTTGTAATCTTCCAAATCCTTTTTATCAGATGCCTTTACAAATGCCTTTTTGTTCCATGTCTTTGCTGTATTTGTGGAACTATTTATATGCTAAAACATATAGTTTCCCTAATCCCAGGTCTTCTGGCATCTCCTCGATGTTGGCACGTGACATTGTTCTGTTTCCTGTCCGTGGAATATTCTTCCTCACCCTCACCTCTACCTCCATCACATCTTCCCAAGAAATTCCCACTTTTGTACACCAAAAAAAAAAATCCCACTCATCCTCCAGCCTCAGTTGCAAGATTGTGTCCTCTCAGAAACCTTCAGCAAGCAGCCCTGGGCTCCTCCCCTTCTGTCATTTACAGTGCAATGGTTAAGAGTTGGCTGCTAACCAAAAGTTTGGCTGCTTGAACCCACCAGCTGCTACACGGGCAAAAGACGTGGCAGTCTGCTTCTGTAAAGATTACAGCCTTGGAAACCCTAAGGGGCAGTTCTACTCTGTCCTATAGGGTTGCTATGAGTCGGAATCGACTCGACAGCAACGGGTTTTTCTGCCAATTGCATAGCCATCTCCTTGTGGGCAGGGACTAGATACTTTTTATGTTTGCTGTCTCCAGCATCTGTCTCAGTGTCTGGCATGTAGTAGAAGCTCAGTAATACTTGCTGGATGGATGAATAAATAAATAAATAAACGGTATAAATGAAGAACATATAGAATGATAAGCATTGGGGAAATCAATGAGAAATCTTAACCAATCTTACCCAGAACACAGGGTTATTGTGGTTGAAAATAAAATTAAATGGATATTCCAGCAAACTTTAAATTTGATGCTCTAAGGGAAGAGGAAATAATTCTAGATTCTTCAGCAGGGTAGTGACATGGTAAATGTAGTGTTTAAGGAAATTCGATCTGACATTATAGGCAAAGAATGGAAGCACATACAATAAAATGCACCGTGGCTGAGTAAACATGAGTGGTGATGACTTCTCATAAATGCCCATAAACGGCTCTATTGTCAGCACTAGCTGAGCCATTCAAGCCTTCCTTGCAGGGATTGACCTCAGCTTGCCCCTAATATGGTGAAATCCTACAAATCCAATTCTAGTTGATTTGATGTAGGAATATATTCTTTATATTATTGCCATTTCTGATTCAGCCAAGGAATGTAGAAATCCAATTACCGCCTTTTCCCCTAGTTCATGACCTAGAAGTAACCTATAACTAATTGTTCAATTAAATATGCTCGAGTTATGCAAGAAGCAGTAACAAAAAGAATGAAATTTGAACACTTCTATAGGTTCTTTTAGATGCAGCTTTTCAAAATCCAGCTTAAATCTATAAATATTTGAAATCGTATAGATTTCCTGGGGGTTTCTGAAAAATGTATTCATTTTTCCTGAGTGTGAGTAATACTGTGTATGCTAAAGTATTAAAATTATGCAAAGTAATATTTTTTCCTCTCGTTTTTGAACAGCAAAACTTAGAGAGTAACCTCACCAACCTTATCAAGAGGAACACGGAACTGGAGACCCTGTTGGCTAAACTCATCCAAACCTGCCAACATGTCGAGGTGAGTATCCCTGTGTGGTATGTTTCATATGAAATCTGCTAGATCCGGGGCTTTTGTGCTTACATTCCCACTCTTTATATTTTTAAAATGGGAATCTTTATTTTATTTTAAATTTTATCATGGTAAAATACATATAACAAAATTTGCCATTTTTAACCATTTTTAAGTGTACAGTTCAATGACATGAATTGCATTCACCATGTTGTGCAACCATACCACTATCCATTTCCAAATATTTTCCAGCACCCCAAACAGAAACTCAGTACCCTTTAAGCAGTAACTCCCCACTCCTTCCTCCGCCCAATCCCTGATAACCACTAATAAACTTTGGTCTCTGTGTATCTGCCTATTATAGATATTTCATATAAGTGGGACCATACAGTATTTGTCCTTCTGAGTCTGACTGATTTTGCTCACCATAATGTTTTCAAGGTTCCTCCATGTCATGGCAAGTATTAGAACTTTATTTCTCTTTATGGCTGGATGATATTCAATTGTATGGGTAGACCACATTTTGTTTTTCCATTCGTCTGTTGATGCACACTTGGGTTGTTTCCATCTTTTGACTGTTGTGGAAACTGCTACAATCAACACTAGTATACAAGTATCTGTTTGAGAGCCTGTTTTCAAGTCTCTTGGGTATATACCTAAGAGTGGAATTGCTGGGTCATATAGTAATTCTATGTTTTGCTTTTTGAGGAACTGCCAAATTGTTTTCCACAGTGGCTGCACCATTTTACATTTCCAACAGCAATGGATGAGGGTTCCAATTTCTCCTCATCCTTGCCAACACTTGTTATTTTTTTCTGTTTTTCTGATAACAGCTGTCCTAGCGGGTGTAAAGTCGTATCTCATTGAGGTTTTGATTTGCAAAATAGGAATCTTTCTTAAAGTTAAATCTTTTGCATAAGCCAAGTATGTAAGATGGATTAAAGTGGAAGGGACTAGGCCCTCAGAGAATCTGTCCCCATCCCCAGCCCTGTCCTGCCCCCACTCCTATGACAGCTGTCCCTGATCCAGCGTTACATAGCACTCCTAATATTGTTGATTTTAATCACCCTTATGAAGAACAACCACATAGCACTATTTAAAAGGTACATGTTATAAATACATCTTGGTTATCCTGTATGCTTCCATGAAATCTAGCACAATTCCAGCAATAGTGGAACCTTCAATGACTCCACACTGTATATGGAAAAAGAAATCAATATCAGTTCCTTAGTGTGATATTCGCAGTCCTCTATCATCTCCCAACCTGTCCACTCTCTACTCTATGCACTCAAACTAAGTGATTGCCCATGCACTCTGCTTTCAAGCCTTCCCGCCTTCAACCCTTCCCACTCCATATCTACTTGTCCGAACCCTTCCTATCCTTCTCATCCCAAGTCAAGTGACACTTGAATTGTGAATATCCTGGACCAGAGTCATCACTCTTTTCTCTGAATCCCATAACATTTTATCGATAATCTTCTTTTGGCTTTGATCATTATCTCATGTGCTAGTTTCCATTTCTCCAACTAGAATGTGAAGTCTTTGAGGATGAGCATGAGATCTTATTTGTCTTTGTATCCCCAGACTCTAATGCAGTAGTTTGCACACAGTGGAAGCTCAGGGAGTTTGTTTTGAACACATGCGCATGATGACTGTTCAAATGGCCAATTTGAACACTATTGGACTGTCTGTAAGTTTAGCTCCAAATAATATCTAAGTCTGGAAAAGCAAACCATTTTGAGTGTGCATTTAAAATTTTTGACAGTAACTGTTTCACAATAGCAATTTTCCTGGAATCCTTTTTTGTGGTCATCTAATCATTAATTATAAGTTTATGGTCTCTTATATGCCTATAACTATATCAATAGATGGACAATATAGTAAAAAAAAATCATAATAGCTTAAAATGTGTTTAAAAGACAACATACACGCACGACATAATTAGAGAACAGTGGAGTAGCTAATCACTTGCTAAGCTAGTATAAAAGATGCATTTTTTTTCATTGACTAATCTCTCTGAAATTGGGCTGCACCTGAAAATTAATGGTGGGACATAGTGTAATTGGCAGCATTTTTTTCTTTCCTACTGGCACATAAAGTAAGGATGAGATTTACAGTTGCTGGTATTTTAGATTGGATGGGTTATGGTATGGGAAAAACAAAAAATAAAATAAAAAAAACCAAACTTGTTCCTGTGGAGTCGATTCCGACTCATAGCGACCCTATAAGACAGAGTAGAACTGCCTCTTAGGGTTTCCAAGGCTGTAATCTTAACCACTGCGCCACCAGGGCTCCGCGATATAGGAAGTGGGGATTAAAAGAGAGAAACAAATGAGTCCAATTTGCCTGAGACTTTATGAAGGAATCAGGACTTAAGCCAGATCCTGCAGATTTTCCACTATTTTTCAAAGTGCCCCAGGAATTGGGGTGCCAGCATATTTATCAACACAACTATGTCTCTCAGTGGTACATACCTCAGGAAAATAAATATGACCAAACGTTGTTTTCAAATCAGATCAGTGTAAAAATGTCTCTGCTATGCAAACACTGGTGCTTGGATGAAAGGTTTAAAATACTCTGTCTTATAAAGTTTGCACTTTCAGTGACAAATGTTCTATTTGGGATAGGAAATTTAAAACTGGTTAGTGAGAGAAATACAAGAGTTGGCAATGTTTTTAAACTCCAAATTTGTTATGACTTCTGCTGTTGTTTCCAGGATGGGAGGAACTGGGGTGTCCTTCTCTCCTCCCAGGATCACACACTTCAACGTGCACCATTTGGGGTGCTGATGAGAGATGGAGGAGGGAAAGACACACAAAGGGAAAAGAAAAAGGGGGTATTGGAGCAACATGTGGGTGAGAGGGCAGATTGGAGCTGTCCAACAAACTCATGGGTTCATGCCAAAGCTCCCCTTGCTTCTAGAACTGTCATGACTGTCAAATTGGAACCAATCTCTTCATCATGTTGGAATAAAGGCGAGTGTACAGGCAGCAGCGATAGTAGTGGCACGTTGCAGAACCCAGATCTTTCTAATCCTTTGCTTAGACTGGATTCGCTTTTGGCAATGGTCTCTCCAGGGAACATTTTGAGTCTTGTTGACTGAACAACATTGTAAATAATAGTGAACAGGCATGATGTTTTCATTATTAGAGAGTAAAGTGAATACGTACGATAGGAAAAAAAGGATGAACAAAATGGAATGATGCATGTGCTATATTTTATTTTTATGATGTGATGGCATTTAATGTTTAGGACAATAAGAAGAAATTATTTCTCATCAGTAAAAAAGTTACCTGTTTTATGGGGAAGTCTTATAAATTCTTTATGGCGTGAGTGATTATTTCATTCAATTTCAGCAAGTTACTTGAAAGCATTAGTGTCTGGTTTCCATTATGGCCTGTAGTAGTGATTTCAGAAGAACTTCTTTGCTCTTAATGCAATATTGGTATAGTTTGAATTTACAAAATGGTATTCCTCTTAACATGATGTAAAATTATATTGTGTGGTGTTGAGTAATTTCAAATGATAGATGAATGTTTCAGTCAAGAAATTTACAAGCAAATTTTATTTTTATTTCAGGAGATTATGTATTTTAGTTGCTGTACAGCTTTTTAAATAGAGCTATCACTGCATTGATTGTAGCAGACTTCAAATAGACATATATGACATTAAAAGTTGTTCTAGACAAGGAGTAAGGGATACTCATTCTTTCTCTGTTGTTTCTCTGTAAATCCTTTGGAATGGAAAGAAATGTTTGTGGGTGTCTTAGTCAACTAGTGCTGCTATAACAGAAATACCACAAGTGGATGGCTTTAACAAAGAGAAGTTTATTCTCTCACAGTCTGGGAGGCTAGAAGTCTGAATTCAGGGTGCCAGCTCCGGGAGAAGGCTGTCTCTCTGTGGGCTCTAGGGGAAGGTCCTTGTCATCAATCTTCCCAGGTGGAGGAGCTTCTCAGTGCAGGGACCCCGGGTCCAAAACATGCTCTTCTCCTGGCTCTTGTTTTTTGGTGGTATGAGGTCCCCCTCTCTCTCTACTGGCTTATCTCTTTTATCTCAAAAGAGACTGACTCAAGACAAAACCTACTCTTGTAGATTGAGTCCTGCCTCATTAACATAACTGCCGCTAGTCCCACCTCATTAACATCATAGAGATAGGATTTATAACACACAGGAAAATCACATCAAATGACAAAATGGTGGACAGTCACACAATACTGGGAATTATGGCTTAGCCAAGTTAACACACATTTTTGGGGGACACAATTCAATCCATGACAGATGCTTAACATCACTAATTATTAGGGAAATGCAAGGTAGAAACAATGATAAAGAGAAATATGACACGCTGTACATACCACTAGAATGTCTAAAATTAAAAATGTTTACAATACCAAGTGTTGGGGGGACACAATTCAATCCATGACAGTGGGTGAGTAAATTTAGTATTTATTTGGGAAATTTATGTATTCTAGATAAAGATTGAACAAAATTAATTATGACTAGAAAAATAAATAATGATACTAGCAGAACTTGTTTTTACATTTGTCTTAGTTATCTAGTGTTGCTGTAACAGAAATACCACATGTGGTTGGCTTTAACAAACAGAAATTATTCTCTCACAGTTTAGGAGGCTAGAAGTCTGAATTCAGGGTGCCAGCTCTAGGGGAAGGCTTTCTTTCTCTGTCGGCTCTAAGGGAAGGTCCATATCTCCTTTCAATATCTGTGGACCTGGCGTTCCTTGGAGATCTCCATGTGTCTTGGCATCAATCTTCCCCTGGGTCCAGAATGTTCTTAGTGCAGGGACTCTGGGTCCAAAGGACATTGCTGCATTCCTGGCCCTTCTTTCTTGATGTTAATAGGTCACTCTTCTCTGCTTTTATCTCTTGTAAGGTAAAAGGTGTGACTAAAGCACAGGTGGTGCATCCCAGCCTAATCCTCATTAACATAACCTAATCCTGCCTCACTGACATGACTGACAACTCACTCCCAAATGGGACCATAACTGCAAG